TACAAAATAATCACCATAGGTAATTATTTGTTTTAAATTTATATTTTAAATTTTTGTTGGGGGGGAATTTCGTTAAAACGTTTCTTTTTTGAGATTAAAATATTTTGATGATGGACGATGGTTATCTAGTGGCCATCTGCCAGTGGGTGTAGTTATGTTCAGTGTTAGGTTATAGGTTTCACATATTATAATCTATAGTGGATTTTCTTTGATTTCCATTAGGAAACCAACTGCGGTGTATAATTCTGATAAGTTTGATTTGTAGTAAGTTCAGTATTGTTTAATATGTTGTGTTTTATGTTTCAGACAGTTTAGATTTATTTTTGTAGATATTTTTGAATTTAATTTCAATTTTGTCTTCAAATTTGATTTGATGTGTCTGTTAAGTTTTTACCTCTAAGAGTGGTGTATTACACTATCAATTAGTCTTGTTGTCTTTTTGACTTTAGATTTCTGGCTTCTCATTTGACTTTGCGACCTTTGGAAATCCAAACTAATGTATTATGTTTATTCTCTTGGTTTGATTTGTGTTGTTTTTGTTCGTATTTGTCCAGCAATATATTTTGTTATGCTGTATTTTCTAAAGTTTTCAGTGCGTTCGGTGAATGATGGATCGATGAGGATAGTATTTATTTTTTTGAACACACGTGTACAACGGTCATATTTTATACATCAACTGTTTTGAGAATTAGTTGGGCGTCATCAGAACTATTTTTATGTAGTAGAAATGAATCTGGTTGTGAGGTTTTCATGCGGCAAAACCTATAACGTTTAATGCAATTATTGATAAATTATCAGTATTGGATGTTTTATACACTATTAATATACACAGTGTGAAGTTCTATGTCAAGTAATGTGACAAATGGAAGCAAGTCAACGAATGAAAAATATTTTTAAAAAAATAACACTAGTCCAATATTCTTGTGCCATTAGTCATCACAACAATCTCATGCGACTCACCATAGTCACATTCTCACATTAGACTTATACCCCGTGATCACTTTAGTTATCTATACTTACGCTATACTAAACTAAGTAAATTTAACTTAAATATTTTGTACTTACCATCATAATTACTAAATTCGCACAAATATAATTACAAAATTGTATGATATTTAAAAGGAATAAATTTGATGGCCTTGTATGTCAGAAACACYTAATAACAATAATAATAATTATCCATAAATAATTTATCGTACATTTCACTTAAYCTAAATAGCAGTGGCCAGGGCGCTACTGATATTTTATKCTACCCCCTCCTTCCTCCAAAAAGTAGCTAGCTATCGCTATTTAACTAGTTTTTTTTATGTAGTGCGCTGCTTCAACGCTATTGTTTAAATGTAACGCACTATATTTTTTCAAAATATTCTAAAGTTGGTAAGTTATACAATATACTGATTTCAATTTTGATAATTGGACAAGATTTGACTTCGTGGGTTAATTTTATAACATTAAAATCAAATAAATCACTATTACAGTCCTCATTATTACAATGTTAATAAATARAAACAATAKTTATCGTATACTACTTTAAGTATCGCCAAATAGGTTGAAGGTAATGACAAAATATTGGTAGTTTTCGCTTTGCTCATAGAAAATGTCCAAAGTATTTCGCTAATTTCTATTGTTTTATTGTAGCGACACTACGTTAATTGTTATGCGAACAAACTAGCGTGCTACTATACTGTTAGCAACACTTAGCGCACTACTCCGGAACACTGCTAAATAGGTACTAATGGTGATTTATGGTCAAATTGTGGATTGAAATCATAAATATTAAAATATGTATGTAATATATTTTACTAGTTTTCAAAAAATGGGCTTAAAATGATATCGTATATACAGGTGTAAATATTTGTCATGGGACGCATTAAAAAAACAATTTTCAGAATCCCGTAATGTGTTTAGTGGCATAATATACACTGAAGAGTGTAGTAAGTTTTCTAACGAGTTTACCATACACATATATTATTAGATTAATACCTACGCAGTTTTTAACAAAATATAGACGTACACATCGTACAATCACGTGTTACTACAATTTTACTTATACATTTTTGCTTTGAGCTTCGTGAACTCTGAACGCGGTTGAGATTAATCACCTGTTATAATTATATATATATATATAATTTTTATTAAATTGCACCTATGTGGCTATTAAAGAGTGTCCAACAGTGTTACAAACTTCTTTTTTCCAAATGTGAACCAACAATTCTAGTCTATACTGTGAGGCCGGTGATTATTTAAAATTTTTTTGGATCTAAATAAAAATCCAAACGAATAGTTTTAAAGTTATCAAATTCAGAGTAGTAGTCCCTACCAACGTACCTCTATAGGTAATGTACTATAAGAGGTAAATAATTATAGTCCTTAAAAATGGTTAAACAAAATCTAAAATAGGTATATGTAATATTGGATCTAGTATTTATTACACTCGGTAAATTTTTACAAATTATACAATTTTGGTAGATTAATATTAATTACCTATATTAAAATTGTCTAACCATAATAGCCTACCCATCTTACTATCCATTATCATTGGCTTAATATCCTTTGTACCCAAATAGTTAAAAAAAAAAAAAATCATGAGCATGATTTGCGAATCACTCATTTATACCTAGGTACTTAATAAATTTAAAAATGCATCAGCACGTAAATAATAATAATAATAAATATAATTTGTTTTGCATGTTTGATTTACTTAGGTGCTGCGTCTGTGGCCAGAGCATGGAGTGGGTTCTTCGATTCGATGTTTGACAACGTTATCAGAAACACGACGATATCCGTGTTGGGTGAACTTCACGAGACACTGTTTGGCAAGTATCCGGACGTGTTTGCATTTTTCGTGTGTTTGCTGCACGCGTGTATCCTGGGTAAGTGAAACCACGGTTAATGTCTAAAACCTTAGATAGCCTGTCTCGATTTAATTGGCAAAACGCAGAATTCTTGGACTATACAAATCATATTATAAGTGCCTATTTAATTTTTATAGTTTATGTATTTAGTGCGTGTTAAAATATACGCGATTTTACAGCAGGAACATACATAATTTTTTATTTCGAGGAATTCAAAGTAAAATTCTTTATGTTTTGTCTCCGTCTTACAAGTGCGTAACATAGCAATTTCCACGCTCAGCAGAACACGTCGTGTAGCTCTGTTAGTTTAAAATTTAAAGTGAACTATTGACCTCTAATAAAATTTAAAATTAAGATTATTATCTAAGGCTTTTCATAGGTTTTTTATTAATATTTTAATTTTAAAGCRAGTTAAAATTGTTAATTGTTTGTATATCTTAAAAAACTCATAACTCGCTTTAAAATTAAAACATAATAAAAAGCCTACATGAGAATCCCTAGATAATAATCTTACCAAGATGTGTTCATATGGACAAATCCCACATATCTTCCTAGAAAGTTCAAAGTTGTCCTAACTAGACTGCGGATCGGGCACACACAAATTAAACTCATAGTCATCTAATGAGTAAAAATGACTCCCCAAAATGTCCAACATGCGGCACCGATCTAACAATTAAACACATAAAGACCGAATTTCGATTATACTCCGCCAAAATCGGCCTCAAATCTTCCTGAATATACCTGTCTGAATTACTAGGCCTCAACAGTTCATTGCTCTCAGCCTCTTTAAAGCTTATCACTGCACAGGAAAAACTGCAAAACAAATTATAAAAACTGTATAAATAATAAACTTGTTGATATAAATATTTAAAAAAAAAAAAATTATAATCTATAATGGCCTGTGTCACCGAGGGTAAATTTGTGTTACTAAAAAAAAATAATCTTACCTTTAAATTTTTTTAGAGATTAATTCACTCTAAATTTTAAATTAACGTAGCTACGCGTGTTCTGTTGAGCGTAAAATTTACCATGTTACGCACTTGTAAGACGGAGACAACACATGTGGGATGCAAAACGATAAAAATCATAAAAAGTTTATAATTATTGCTTATTAGTTATTAAATTGTACCAGTRTTATAACGCCCGATGATTAATTTAGTAGATTCTATATTGTTGAAACAGTATGAGTATATATAATACGTCATACGCTCATAACATCATCACCATTATGAAGCATATTGTTTTATTAATTTTTTTTAGTGATATTTAAGTACTAAAATAATAATTATTGTGCCTAATCGCAGAGTAAATAGCAGAAAGGGTCCACTAACTCCACTGATTATTAATTTATATAAATATTATTAGTTATGACCTCCAATGATTCTTCTATATAATATAATATTTCTAATACTTATAAGTAGGTATATAATATGGGTACTTAAATTTTTTCACGTTTATAATATAATTATCATTAAAGTTATGTTACGATATATCATTTTTAAAACAAAGAATTTTGTTGAAAAAAATAACGTTAATATCACAATTAAGTATTTGTAATTATAGTGAATTATTTATATAATATAAGTCCTATAAAATAGAATATGATTGTACGACAAAATTATAAAAATATTCTTGGCAAATCCTTTAAAAAATAATCCATGAAATGAAAAAAAATATTTGTCTAAAAATTTAAATTTTTTATTTTTGTAAGGACGGGTGATATATAGTTTTTACAGATTATGATTATTTGTATTTGCGGTGGTATCGATCCCCGACAACTGGATTTTAATATAATAATAATATTATTATATACTGCAGTTATTGCAGTTGTTTCGTTATAATGATAATATAGACCGTCTTGTGTCGGCGCAGGGGTAGGCGTTAAAACTTCGTCGTACATGAACAGCTTCTTGACGCTGATCAACCTCGGCGTGATGGCCGTGATCGTAGTGGCCGGATATTATTATGGRAACAGTGACAACTGGTCCAGTGACGGCGGATTTATGCCGTACGGCACGACTGGTATCATAGCCGGGGCAGCCACCTGTTTCTACGCTTACGTCGGCTTCGACAGCATCGCCACCTCGGGCGAGGAAGCAAAGGACCCGGCCTATTCGATTCCAGTGGCCACGATAATTGCGATGAGCGTCGTTTGCACAGGTATACTTATGGTTGCAATAGTTTGGTATCGCGTCCGATTACGGTAGGCGTCCGATTTGTTTGGATGTATATAATTATAGGTACATCACCGGGTGGATGGTTCCCGCGAACACGGGACACACAGAAAACGTTGTTGCGCGTGCGCAAAATACAATAATTATTAGAATTCACCAATATGATATTGTTCATATATCATATATATATATATATATAATCCATAGATATTTATATGATCCAATAGTCTATAGTTTCTATTATCCCACGAGATTAATTCAAAAATATGCGAAAGATACTGCACGACTGGTATAAGTTACTGATATATTTGTGGATATATTATACGCGCGGCAGATATATAGGTACGGCAGACGTGACGAACCTTTTTTGGGTCTGAAGTGCCAAATTTTGCAATCAAGGATTTGAACATTTTTCGCAAAGTGTATAAACACTAAATAGAACATGATAAATATAATGAATAATGATAATATAAAAAAAACATTATCAACTTTATATAATATTTAGGAATATTGTAATATAAAAATATATACAATTGGTTTTTTTTTTCAAAAATGGCACGCGTACCGCGGAGTCGCCACACCTGAATACATTTATACATGCGTATACACGGTTTTTTGTTTATACTTACTCGCGCGTGTGTCTGCCGTTTATGTATGTATATAATATAGGTTTAGTTGTGTTTGATTTCAAAATAATARTTTAAAAAACGAATCCTAAAAACTTAAATTTTTGATAAAATTATTATTTACCATTATACGGAACTAATAATGATGCTTCCCGAGTTTCAATACAGTATATTATACGTACCTATATACTATTAGCCGTCAGAGCAATAATAATGTTGTATCATAATAATAGGCATTGTCTTTGGTACCTTTTATTTTATTGTTTAGATAGTTCGATCCTATTTAACGGTTCACATATAGAAAGTGATTGACAGCTATTCGCGTAACGATTTTCGTCGATTTATTTACAGGTTACGTATTGGTGAGCGGAGCATTAACATTCTTGGTCCCATACTGGTCCATCGTTCCCGATGCAGCATTTCCGGCGGCATTTGCTGGATTAGACTTGAACTGGATTAAGTATTTAGTATCAGTAGGAGCATTGTGTGGAATGACTACTACTTTGTTTGGATCTCTTTATTCGTTGCCCAGATGTATTTATGCGATGGCCGATGATGGATTGATTTTTAAATTCTTAGCCAAAGTCAACAAAAAAACTCAAGTACGCAAAGTAATAAAAATACAATTATTTTTAACTTCAAATRACAAAYCATAAATTGAAATATATATATAATTGGTATTAGTATTTATCTGATTTCTAATAAAATACAAACATCGATATGAATTTGACAAGAATAACATTTTTCATACTTAAGAGGACCCTATCCAAGAATGGGTCACTTACGTCTTTCAAACGTAAATCATATCAAATTTGAGTTCAACGGAACTGATCTTGTGTTGGTAGCTTAAATATTAAAGTGAATCCACTTGTTATCAAATTTTAAGATAAAAAAATCTGCTTAAGCGTCAGATTTTTTTCGATAATTTAACTTTCAAGCAATAAATAAACATGCCGTTTGACGTACATAATAGTTTGTACATGTTAAAATCTGTTTGAAATAGAAAATACGTTTGAGTATCTACTATACGTGAAATATCATAATTAAAATATCGGAAAAAGCTGATATTCAAGAAAGATAATATTCTACTTAAGCTTATTCATTCTAATAATTAAGGTAAATAGCTAACAACAGTAAATTGGTTTTGCTGAATTCAAATTTGATTTGTTTTACGTTTGTAAAACGAGGAAAACACATGCATGGGTAGATCCTTTTTACGATTAAAAATATATTCTAGTGAGTATATCGTTTTAAATTTTACAATCGTAATAAATGTGTAATATAAAAAAATTKTTTATTGTTTACATTATTGTCTAATCGAAAATATGTTACAGATACCAATAATAAATTTGGCTATATCTGCCTTTTTGTGTGCATTGATAGCCTTATTCTTYGATTTGGAAAAATTAGTTGAATTTATGTCGATCGGTACATTGTTGGCTTATACTATTGTCAGTGCTTCAGTAATAATATTAAGATACCGTCCTACCAACCGYGGTCTAGTACGGGATTCTAGTAGTCTCTTAGAACTTCCTACTTCGCAGGCAGACGTAAGCACRCATATAAATAATAGTATTATATATACAGTTTTAAATTTACTCTGCAGGATAGCCATGAATTGATTATTGTTATTGATTTACAATTTTCAGTCTTTTGAAATGGACATGGGAGGACGCTTAAAACCATCCTATAAGTTTCTAGAACCATTTTTTGGCGAATTCGAACCTGGTTACATAGTTTGTGTGAGTATTGGTTGCTTCACAAGTTCCACCGTCATCTTGTGCGTTTATATTCAATACTGGTTTAATATCGAACATGTGAGTTGGACCGACGGCGTTGTGTTGGCAATGTTGGGCACCGATTTAATTTTATGTACGTATAAAATATATGAGATTATTGCAATACATCGCATTACATATATATCTATATAAATCTAACTATAAAGAGTAAACCATAGTCCATAATTAGGGATTAAAAATTATTTTTTATTCGTTTACTCACGCATTAGTATTTTTATATATATTTATTTATCAAAATATCAATTTCCATTAGTATTWARGCCTTCTTTAATCGACGAAAAAATTATTAAATAAGTGTTATAGTTCTGATACCAACAACAAAATAGGTTATATACAAACGTTATTTATTATTGTTTCAGGTCTGCTCCTGATTGAAGCCCATGARCAAAATTCAACAGAACTMCCGTTTATGGTACCCCATGTGCCTCTAATACCATCGCTTAGCATTGTTTGTAACATMGTGTTGATGACTAATCTTAATTTGCTTACTTGGATACGGTTTTTCATATGGATGGTTWTAGGTAAGTTATAWAATAAACGACGCTCATTGTACGTGTGCGCAATTTTTTTTACATTTTATGATATTTAATAAAAATGTTCGACTATAATGTGTTGTTACAGGTCTTTTGATTTACTTCTTGTACGGAATGCACCACAGCAAAGAAAACGACGTCACATCTTATTCGGTATTGCTTTCGTCCTCTGAAGCGGGAAAGACACCGTGGGGAGCTATAAACAAATCTAGAAAACGAGTGAAATCCGAAGATGACCGGAAACCAATTATTGACAATGAAGAACTTGCAGAAAACGGTTATTACCACTGAACAAATAATTAATATTAGATGATCTGCTAAAACCGTTAYTATTAGTGAGATGTTTCATCGTGTTGCTGAAAAATACTCGTYGGAGGGTGCCATTCAAATATATATATATATTATATATTTATATGTAATAATAAAAATAGTGTTAATATTATGGTCGGTTAAAACTATATGCGTGTTGTTTATACGTAGTATCCTTGTAGGTCATTAAACCATTGCTACGGAATGTTTTGAATAATATCGCAATATTTTTCGTTTCTGTGTTAACTTTAACTTCAAAATATGTTCTTACACGTTACACTCCTGTTAAAAAGTATATTACCAAAATATGGTTAATCGACAATCGTTGTCCATGAAAATTGATTGATATAATACAATGTGTGTATAGAATTTCTAAACAATATGG